TGCACGCTTAATTTTCATGCATGAATATGATGCTAGATTATGAGGGAGTTTCACCTAATAGTTACAATCTTATAATCACAAGTAGTGAAGGTCGCTTGAAAACGATCGCGTTGAATGAATTCTTAGCATAAGTTTCATGCAATTCATAGTAACGAATGTTTCGTCAATGCTTATGTTTTTCATAGAACTTAATGATTCTTGCTTGTATCTCTATTATGCAATTCATGTAGGGAACTTGTAGGGAATGTTTTGGGTTGTCGTATGCAATCATCCAACTTAATAACTTGTGGAAAAACTGATGGTTAATTAGTGCAATTCACAGTTAACTTGGGGCGTTGAGTATTTATAATTTATCGAAAGACCAACTGAAAATCAAATTGTATGCAAGTGTGACATGTGTGGAGAAGAACCTTCTAGCTAGCATTCATTCCATATTTCATCACATTCATATTTAAATTCTGCCTTTAAATTACAATTTGTGCATTTAATTTATTGTCGTCAAAATCTCAATCCCCCTTTACTTTAGTGTCCAATTTAGTTAGAAAGTGTCTTAGTTTGTGTTTATAAGTGTTTTGTATTCTTTGAGTCTTTTGATTTGTTTTAGTGTTTTTATTGTTTAGTTTGCATTCATTGAGTTTAGTTTAGTGTTTCAAACTTTATTTTACGTTTTTGAGTCAGTTTCCAAGTGGTTTTGCAATCCCTCCTAATCCCCGGTTAAGAACGATCCCTACTTATTTATATACTACAATTGTCACAAGAGGGTTTTAATTTGTGTGCTTAATTAGTTCGCATCAAACAACAAAAAAATTTGTGTGGACCCGTAAATGTAATCTAAGAACCAAATAATACTTGCATGTTAATTTTTTGAAGTAATTAAGTAATGTTATATAATTATTCCCTAGGATAATTTTAATATGTTTAATGTTATTTATTATTTTATTATTTTATTAACATTATGTGACATCCCACATCACACATGGGAGTGATCCTTATATGTATATTCTCATCTCTACCTAGCACAAGGCATTTTGGGAGCTCACTGGCTTCGAGTTTCATGGGAACTTTGAAGTTAAGCGAGAAGGAGGCTAGAGCAATCCCATGATGGGTGACCCACTGTGAAGTTGCTCGTGAGTTCCCAAAAACAAAATAGTGAGGGAATGGTAAGCCCAAAACGGACAATATTATGCTATGGTGGTGGAGCGGGCCCGGGAAGTGATTCGCCCTGGACCGGAATGGGACAATTTTATTGTGACATCCCACATTGCTCAGGGGAGTGATCCTTATATGTATATTCTCATCCCTACCTAGCAGGAGGCATTTTGGGAGCTCACTGGTTTCGGGTTCCATGGGAACTCAGAAGTTAAGCGAGTAGCGCACTAGAGCAATCCCATGATGGGTGACCCACTGGGAAGTTGCTCATTAGTTCCCAAAAACAAAACCATAAGGGAATGGTAAGCCCAAAACGGACAATATCGTGTTACGGTAGTGGAGTGGGCCCGGGAAGTGATTCGCCCTGGACCAGGATGTGACATATTAGGTTTTATTATCAAATTGGATTATTATTCATTAATATTAGGTTTTTTTTATTATCAAATTGGATTATTATTCATTAAATTGGATTATTCATTAAATTGGATTATTATTAAATTGGATTATTATCAATTTGGATTATATTCATTAATATGTTGAATATTAGGATTATTTTATTATCAAATTGGATTATTATTCATTAATATTAGGTTTTATTATTCCATATTATTTTTATAATTACTTAAATTCTTACAATCATTTTCTTTACTTTGTATTTAATTCTTCTGTAGAATAACTTTATTATTTAGGTTCTCTTATATAACCGTCATCACTACTATATTTTTTGGCCAAAAATAAGTGCCTAATTTCCATGAAAAATAAATATAGGTACGTTTAAGATGTCTAGTGGAGTTACTAAACGTGATCCAGCTTGGGAACATGGAGACCCAATAGACGGAAACAAACATGGCACAATATGCAAATATTGTGGTCGGGTAATGAAGAGTGGCGGAGTGACACGACTTAAGTACCATCTTAATGGATTAGATCCAGGAAATAATGTCCAACAATGCGATAATGTCCCCCCAGAAGTGAAGGCATTCATCACCACATTATTAAAAAATAAAAAACACTAGAAGGAAAAGAAAACACATGGAATGGAAAATATTCGAGTTGGGCTACGAGGAGAAGTCATTGGCCAAGCGGTTGACAATGATGATGATGAGGACGAATGTGATGATGACATAAGCAATTTGGTGATTTTGCTTATGGACAACGTCAACCAATCTCAGATCCATATGGATGGCATGTTAACAATTACATGCAAAACTATTTTGGGGATTTATCATTTGATGACTACTCTTCACAATACACTTACTCTACACATAGAGATGATGAAGATAGTGAAAATTTTGAACCTCATATGAACTCTATGTGGTACTAAGTCACTCATGTAAATTACCATGCAATGTATAAAGTGTAAAATATTGTACTAATTCATTATATATAAATGATTATGGTGTGTTTAAACTTCTTTCATTAATTATTACATATTTTCTACACTCAGAATGTTTGCCAACTTGCTATATAATCAACTTAAATCAGTTAAATCCATTATGCAATGCATTTCCTTCCAATTTTTTTGTGATACACTAATAGATAATTGACTAAATAAACATCCTGCAAAGTTTCAATAAAAATTTCCAAGTTTGTCTTACAATTTCCGTGGTTTTATTCAATTTTTATCGATATCGATAATATCCCGATATTTCCATCGAAATTTCCGTGTTTTTGGACTACCGATATTTCTGATATCAGCGATATTTTAGACCTTGCCTGAGATTGATCAAACTCATCATTTTTGTCCATCACTTTCAAAATCAATCACTGTTGACCCTAACATTCACTACCGTACATCAATTTAGATTTTGTCAATTATTCTGTTAATTTGTATGTGGGACCCACAAATCCAATAAAATTGTTACATGTGAATTACAGAAAAGAATGATTTTTATCACAAATGGTCCATGAAATTGATCAAATTCTTCATTTTAGTTCCTGAGTTTTAAAAATCAATAAATTTGGTCCCTGGCTTTCACTACTGCATATCAATTTGGTCATTCCATTAAAATTTCGTCAATGTTTTATGTAAGCATGATAATATGGTCCCATTAATTTAATCGTATGGCACCATATGGATTAACTATATATATATATATATATATTTTATAAAAGATTTAAAACTAAAAGTAAAATAAGAAATTAAAAACTAAAACTAAAAGAAAAAAAAAGAAGACATCATCGTCTTCATCTATGTATGCTCAAAAAGAAAAGGAAGACATCATGACATCACTAAAGCTCTTGACCTCCTAAAATCCTCATTCTATTTAGTTAGTTATTATCCTATCAAATTTGAATTGAATTTGGATTCGATTATATCAAATTTAGATTGAATTTTATTTCCTAATTGGAATTGTGGGATGCAAGAGAAATGCCAGCGTGGAATACGTCACTCTAAAAAAATAGTTTCTTATAATTAATCCACTTAATGCCATATGATTGGATTGGTGAGACTCTAACATCCAACATCGTCCAGGGGAGTGGATTTTGTAAGCCTTATATGTATATTCCCATCTTTACGTAGCACGAGACCTTTTGGGAGCTCACTGGTTTCGGGTTCCATCGGAACTCTGAAGTTAAGTGAGTTCACATGAGAGCAATCCTAGGATGGGTGACCCACTGGGAAGTTCTCATGTGAGTTCCCAGAAACAAAACCGTGAGGGCGTGGTCAGGGCTTAAAGCGGACAATATTGTGCTACGGTGGAGTCGAGCCCGGGATGTGACAATTTGGTATCAGAGCCAATCCCTGGCCGGAAATATGCCGACGAGAACGTCGGACCCTTAAGGAGGGTGGATTGTAACATTCCACATTGCCTAAGGGAGTGGATCCTGTAAGTTTTATATGTATATTCCCATCTTTACCTAGCATGAGGCTTATTGGGAGCTCATTGGCTTCGGGTTCTATTGGAACTCCGAAGTTAAGTGAGTTCGCGCAAGAGCAATTCCAGGATGGGTGACCTACTGGGAAGTTCTCGTGTGAGTTCCCAAAAACAAAATCGTGAGAGCATGGTCGGGGCCCAAAACGGACAATATCTTGCTACGGTGGAGTCGAGCCCGGGATGTGGTGGGGGCTTGGGTTGGGATGTGACAGGGACCACATCAGTACACTAACAAAAAATATTGACGAAATTTTAATGGAAGGACTCAATTGATGTGCGATAGTGAAAGTCAAGGACCAAATTTATTGATTTTTGAAACTCAAGGACCATAATGAGGAGTTTGATCAATATCAGTAATCATTTGTGATAAAAATCCTTCTTTTGTGTAATCCACATGTCACCATTTTATTGGATTTGTTTGTCCCACATGCAAAACTAACAAAATAATTGACGGAATCTAAATGGAAGAACCAAATTGAAGTGTGATAGTGAATGTTAGGGACAACATTAATTGATTTTGAAAGTGAAAGACCAAAACGATGAGTTTGATCAATCTTAAGAATCATTTGTGATAAAAACCCTTCTATTAATACGTAATATGTAGTTTAAATACTTGTACAATGTTCCTGCTTGTCGAAACTACGAAGTATTCAATTCAATAGATGTTTTATTTCGTGTTTTTTTAAGGGAGTTTTAACGAAAAATTCGCGGTACTGTTCACTTTAACGAAAAACCACATTTTTACACTAAAAAGTCAATCCTGGTACTATTCACTTTACCCTTTATTTTGTTCTTATCGTTAAAACTCAAAGTTTTCAAGCATTTTTCATTAGTTTTCCTATTTTCAAGCTTTTTTTATTAATTTTTTTTTTTTAATTCATAGATAAACCCCTTTGATTACTGCCTTGACATTTTGGACCAACGCCATGACAAATACGGCTCATCTGCCCTCAGATTACAACGAACCAAACACCGACCCAGCCAGGATGGACTCCCTAACCCCCGACGCCAAGCAGATCTTCATCTTATCCGGCCAGAGCAACATGGCCGGCCGCGGCGGCGTCTTCAGGGACCACCACCACCACAATCGCGAGCAATGGGACGGCGTCGTTCCGTCGGAGTGCCAGCCCCACCCTTCCATCCACCGCCTCGACGCACATCTCCGGTGGGTGCCCGCGCGTGAGCCGCTACACGCCGACATTGACGCCAAGAAGGTTTGCGGCGTGGGCCCGGGGATGGCGTTCGCGAACAAGGTGAGGGAGTGTGCGGGGGAGGTGGGGCTCGTGCCGTGCGCGGTGGGCGGGACGGCGATCAAGGAGTGGGCGCGTGGGGAGCACTTGTACGAGAGTATGGTGAAGCGGGCGAGGGAGAGCGTGAAAGGCGGGGGTGAGATGAAGGCGTTGTTGTGGTACCAAGGGGAGAGTGACACGTCGACGCAGCATGATGCGGATGCGTACCAGGGGAACATGGTGAAGTTAATTGAGAATGTGCGCCAGGATCTTGATTTGCCTTGGCTTCCAATTATCCAGGTTGGTGAGCTTGTAAATTATTCTTCAGTCTTTGCATTGATGGCCATTTTATAAGCATATAATTTAGTTACTAAGCGTTGCAATTCAAACGCAATAGTTTTGATTTTGTGCATAATTACAACGAAATTAGCACATGAGCATCTTCAACCGATGCTTCAAATTGTCAAGTGGACGCGTAACCGTGAAAAATGGCATCTGGGAGATCATCAAATTGAAATTTAACATGATGTTAAACTGCCACGGAGATCATCCAATTGAAATTTGGTGTTCATCATTTGACGTCTCATTTGAATATGCTACAAACTCACATGGTAATTTTGTTGTAATTAAGCTATTTTCCTTGAATTGGAACAAGTAGTCAATTACAACTCTGAAATTGCGAAAACTGAAACCTCAAAACATAATTTGATCAATTACATTTTTTTTTTTTTGAACAATTACCATTATCTACGCTAAGGGGAGGGGTTGGGTTTAGCCTCACAATGGGTTAGCAATAATGCGGTTCAAATTCGCCTTTGGCGGCGAGAATCGAACCTAAGACTTCTTACTAACCAGTGAAGAGGAATACCACTAGACCGTAACACTAAGTGACATAATTTGATCAAATTTAAAATTTCTTTCTTTTATATTGCTATTGATACGTTTTTGATTTTTTAGGATCTCGATTGTTTCGGTTAAAAATGCTATTAATACTTTGTTTACAGGTAGCTATTGTGTCCGGGGACAACAAGTATATAGAGAAAGTGAGGGAGGCCCAGTTGGGAATGGAAATCCCAAACGTCGTGTGCGTGGATGCCAAGGGATTGGAGCTCAAAGATGATCATCTGCACCTCACCACCAAATCCCAGGTTCAGTTGGGTCAAATGTTGGCTGATGCATACCTCCAGCATTTTGGACCCTCAGAACCCAATTCTCATGCTGCCCCTTGAAGTACGCTATCTAATTTCACGTTGCTACTTCTTTTAAGGTGCGTTTGGACCAAGAACTTTAAACCTAATTATTGGTACGGTGTTTGTTGTTGTATGACTAATGACTACGACTTTGGTGGGATTGTGTTTTCATTTGGTCGTATGGTTTGGGGACGAGGCCTTACAATGAACTGTATGCAGCTTTTGGGATTTGATCCAATGGCCCTAACATGCCTTGCACTAATGCACTAGATCTTTGTGTTGATGAAAAAATAAACCCTAATCACGTTACGATGTATTGACATTTTATCTCTCTTTTTCACGTGATTGAAACCGAGGTACGGTAATCTCTAATTAACTGATGACAGGTTTATGCACTCTGTTAATTTGATTGAAACCTTTTATATGTTGATTCCGTTTATTAAGTTAATTTTATTGTCGCTGACTTTAAAGTTTGGTCCCCCTCATGAAGTATACATAGAAAATTATATATTATGATTAAGACTGACTATTTGAGTATATTATGTTAAGTTGCTAACTTGCTAATCATATATGATTTTTACCTCTTCATTTTATAATTAGACAACATAGGGTTAGGTTACACCGTACTATAGCAGATTTTCGTGTTTTACCATCTTATAAATAGAGTAATCTCCGATTTTCATGCAATGTAATAACGCTATTTATATATGATTTGTAAGCAAAAGAAGTAACAAATGGATTGAGCAAGGGCTGGTTGGTATTGTTGTGCTTTGAAAAAAAAAAAATACTTCTGCTATGTTGTGAGAATAAGCCGCTGTGAAATAAAGCGGCAGAGTATTTGGTAAATTTTTTTGTAAAAGTGATTTTGGAAAAAAAAGAGTAGTATTATAGTGTTTGGTAAACTTTTATGTAAAACAGCTGTGACTGTGTGAAATGATCAAAAAGGGTTTGGTCTTATTTAGCATGCCTTGGGGGGCCCACTCCTTTTATTTGGTCTCCTTCTTCTTCTCTCTTTCTTCTCTTTTTCCCGTGAGACTCTCCTTTCTCTTTAACTCTCTCTCTATGATACTCTCATTCTTTCTAATTACCGAGAGAATCACCCACACCAACACCAATTTTCGAGTGAAATCCATACCAATATTCCTTGTTTTAGGTGTGGTTTGACCTATGGATTTGAATGGTGGCATTGCATGTGAAGATCAAGTACTCAAAAATGAAGAAAGCCAACCCTTCCCTCTCGGTGAAAAACTCTTTGACGAGTTGACCTGAGGCTCGACGAAATTGGGGTGCTTCAAACTCAATTAAACCTTTATTTAATTTCAGGTACAACTTTTGTATCCTGCATATCGAATTTTCGCATGAAATTCTTGGGATTTAACCCCAAATACCCTCTGTGTTCATGCCCAGAAATCTGGTGACCTTCTTGGTCATTTTCGGTGAACTTGAGACTGAATCTTCATCAATCGTCAAATCTCAACTCTGGGTAACTCTGAATCTACACTGAGTCGGAGAAACTTGGGAGAACGAGAGAGATATGGGATTGAAGTTTTCTGGTTCAGGTTTTGCGAGAGCTGAAAGTGTGAGGAAAGGAGGGCAATTTTGGGTTATTGAAAAATTCATTAAAGATTAGTGTTCGCTCATGTTTTTAAAAATAAGCTAGGTTTTGGAAGCTGCTATTTGCAGCTTCATGTTTTGGGCTTATTTTCATCCAAAACTTTGAAATAAAGTTGATTTTGAGAGTTTACCAAACACCAAATACCTTCCCAACTTTCTTTCATACCCACTTTTTTAAAATCACCTCAATGCCAAACCAGGGCTAAAAGGACCTAAGATATAGTTTGAATGACGTCATCCATGCAATAGATGTTGAGCTAGGATTTGGATCCCATCCGGATCTTCTTAGGGATACTTCGTACGGTTAGAAATTATTTTAAATTTTTTTATTAAAATTAAATAGAAACAGTACCTAACGAAAGTTGGCCGCACAATGTACAGTGAACGGATAGGATGTGAGGATTCTTAGGATCCTCACAAAGAAGATTCAGAGAGGATCCTCCGTTGAGCTATTACTGTCACCTGTGTTAACGCTCAAAATTTGCAGGTTAACAAATTAAAATATTGAACCCTTGGTGGGTTTGGGGTATGGGCTGAAATGAAATGAACACAACAGTGTAAGTGGTTCACCACTTAAAATTGGGCTACTTCCATTGTTTTACTTGGATTTAATTGATTACAAGACTAAAATAGCACTTGGCTAATACATGAACTCCTTTTTTCATCAGACCTCTATACAGATGGTCCTCACCCTTTTATATAGGCCCTCAATGAACCTCCCAGCCTTAGGTCTCCCTAACTTGGCATTTAATGTGTCACCTATATAGACTAGGCTGCTGACACCCTTTGACCTATCAAGCCAACATTCGGCAGTGAAATGACATGTGTAAAGCCAAAATGGTGCATTATGTCAAAATAATGCATGTCGAGCGTCCCACTCGCCCTTGGTTATCCAACCCTGCCTGTGTGAGTGTCGTTCCGACTATCCTTACATTTCATCTTAGGTCTTTGCCCCAAGTTGGAAAAGTTTCCAATACAGCTGTCAGTCTACTCATGTGCCTCCTGCCGGTCGGAAACTCTTCATATGTCCTGGTCGAGTTGAGCTTATAGGAAATCGGCTTCAGCACTCGGGAGCGCTCCCCTTAGGCTTTGGGCTTCTTGATCTTTTTAGGGCTTCTCGTGACTTCTTTTTAGGTCTGTACAGTTAAATGGGCCTAAAAGTGCCTAACATTAACAACCCGTCCCATAGGCCGTTTAACTTACTACAATCAGTATATTAATGACCATTTGAATGGTTGTGTTAGGCACATGTTTAATTTAGAGGGTTGCAAACTAGGACGTTGATCTCGCATCCGAGAAAGTGCGGAAAAGTAGTTCAAGAACTTGGATATAATAATAAAATCCGAAAGGGGCTAAATTTTTACTCATTTGGTGCATCCAGTCATCCTTTTTCTTCAATCTAATATACCAACGCTGACATGCCTTACCAAATTTCTGAACTAATTATATGCTGCTGTTTCTTTTGTTTTCATTAAATCATACATTGTTTCAAGTTTTGGAGGCAAGGATGACTATCCCAATTGAAATTATTAAATTCATTTGGCCGGTTCGTTTAGAGATTACAATGTAGAAAGCGAAAGGCTGAAAAGCGTGGAGGAAATCTATCGGTGGAACCACATTAATCAAACGTACGATGATTTTGTGAAGAGGATGAGGATGAACGTCCGATCGAGAACTTGTTGCAAACAGTTGAATTCATGACCTTGAAAAAGTGCTTCTTCTTCCGAAATTTGGAGGACTTACCCAACGAGATGTCGTCGGAGACACCGCCTCTAGGTTGTGCTTTTGATGACGGCTTGTTCATCATCCGCTAACACTCGTTTTATTTGTTATTGTTTGGATCCGATTTTACATTATCAGTCCGTTGTATTGAAGCTGTTGGATGACTCCGGAGATGAAGGAAACTTTGTTGTAAATTGTAATTACTGTTATAGTAATTACTTTAGAAATATCTTTGATGTTTACAGAGTTGACTTGTGCATGGGATTCTATTAAAATTAATTATTAGTCGATCCAATTGGTATGGGATAAAGGAGGATATGGACTGAATTCGTATTCCATAGCCGAAAACCATGCATGCAGGTTGTATTTTGGATAATAGAGGGATTTGTTGATCATCATCAGAATGGGATAAAGCTACAAGTGGGATTTGATAAACAAAGTAATCCTGATGCTGCACACATTCCAAGTGGTGCACGTGGGTTTGGAGATAAAAGGACTGGATTCATGCATGTACGTAGGGAATTAGGAGACCATTTTCCATGCAATTCATGCATGTAGAATCGTAGATGATCTGGTGAATGGGTTATAAGATATGGCACGTGGTGCTAGGAATTTGAAGTTGGCAACAATTCTAAATATGAGTCTTATCAGGAGACTAGTGTATCTGGTCTGGATGCAAGGAAAATGCAGTTGCCAACTATTCCAGGATATCAAGATGATGACAAAGGCTTCTGTGATAGCTATCTCAGATGAGTGATTTGCTTTGGGTCGGAATTGCACGGGTTAGCTAGTAAATACTTCACTGCTATAAATATGAGGTGATGTGTAACGTGCAAGAGCCCCTCCAAATTAACACACAACTGCGCTGTGCAAACAACTTCTCAAAGACCTTGAGATTCTTATTTTATTTCTTTTTCCTGCCCACACACTTTCACTTTGGGTAAATAGCACCGTGGAGGCAACCGGAAACATCTTCATCATCAGTTTGGATAAATAGCACTACAGCCGTAGAACCAGCCAAGGAGGAGCACCTTCAGTCTGGATAAACATCACTGCTTTGAGATCGACTGGTTATTTATCCAAGTCTTAATCAACAAGGATTTCCAAGTCCTTATTGGAAGAGGTCATCTCATTAGCCTTCTCGGCGAAGTGAGGTGTTACCAGGTTACTACACTGAAAGCCGAATTTGATATTGAACTTCGCAGAACTAGCAGCTTTATCTTTAGGAGTCTAGAACCCAAAGGTCGAGATGTGTTCCTTCCTCGGCCGTAGCCGCGAGATCAAGAAGTTAGCAGCGTGCCCAACGCCACATCAACATTCATTTTACTCCCCGGCCGAGCTCGACCGACAAGTTGGCAGGCCCTGCATTCAACTGAAGGATGTATTTAGCTTATTAATTACTTTGCCTACACGCCACATAGGTTAGGTAGTTTTTAAGGTCAACAGTTACATAAGGCAGGTACATTGCATGTAAACATTTCATGAACAAGGAAGATGAAGAGAATCTCAAGTGGATTCAAATATTCAACAAATATGACGTGTACTACAAGGGAGCCCTACATTGATTTCTTTTAAGCTTTAATTGAAGCAAAAATGAATTTTTATTCAAACACTTACTCTTTCAGTCACCAAGACAACAACATACCAACCTAAGAATCATGTAACATGCACCATATGTCCCTACCCATGCACAATTTGATTTTTGTTATAAAAGCAGTTTGAATGCCCACTGAAAAGGTAGTATGGATGAAGATTTTGGAAGATAATTAATGTTTACTATTCACTTGATGGCTTTGGTTCCCATTAATATATTAAAATAACTCATATGATACGTT